TTGGCTAGAACAATAGTTTGGTTGATCACCGATATAATTAGGTGGAAATTGGTATGGTGGTAGTGGAAATTAGTTTAGTGGTGGTGCTGGAAATCCCGACGTATTATATGGCTCATAGCCCGGGGGGAAGTAAATGGGGTCATTGGTTTGACTCGTAATTTGGGGGCTCGTTGTATTTGGTGGTTCCCTAGAACTACTACTACGGATAAGTCGGCCTTTCCCCCTAGACCTAGATGATGGGTTGTTCGATGCCATAATTAACAATTAATTTTTTAATAAAAAGCGGTTAACTATAATAATAATAATTAATAACAACAATTTTAACAATAAAAATATCAATAATATTAATTAATAACAACTATAACAATAACAATAACAACAAAAATAAATAATAACAACAATTGTAACAATAATAATAATTAATAACAACAATTATAACAACAATAACAATTAACAACAATAATAATTAAACAAGATTATTCTAATAATAACAATAAAACAATAATAAATTTAAGATTAGTTTGATCTTACAACCGTGCTTCAACGCTCCACTAATTACGATATTAGGAAAATAATTAGAGAATTTAAGAGAATAATTAGAGAATTTAAGAAAATAAGGATTATTAGAGATTTAGAGAATATAAGAGATAAGAAGAAGAGATTGTAATTTTGTGATTTGGGAATGAAATGGAGGTGAGTATTTATATAATTTTAGGGGAGCAAATTGGCAAAAAACTAGCCGTTTTTAGCCGTTTTTTTGGCTTATTAAGGAGCTAGAATAAACGGTAACATTACCGTTGGCCCGCGGGCCGTGTCTGCGGGCCGGCACGACGGGCCATGGCCGTGCCTGGGAATTCTCAACCCTGTCCGTGGCACGGGAGTTGAACTTCGTGCCGTGCCGGGCTGCGCCGAATGGCGGGCCGTGCCTGGCGGCACGCGGGCCAACCCGGCCCGTGCCCAGGTTTACTCCACACATATCAAACCGAAGGCAACCATTACGATAGCACCCACACATATCAAACCGAAGGCAACCAGTACTATAGCAACTACACATATCAAACCGAAGGTAACACATTCTCAAGCGAAGGCAACATATGGCAAGACAACATTGGAAACACGGAAGGCAGCAGTGGAACACAAGCAACAACAAAGCCAAATCTGACTTTATCACAGAAGTGTGAGGTTATCGATGAAATGTTACTTGTTTTACGCGATGGAAAACTACCAAGAGGGCATTTAACACATCTTGCAAGGCAATTGTGTGCACAAGTCAACAATAACCCGCATATTTCAAGACGTCAAGCAACAAATGGAAGGGGGGAATGTGATTGATGTGAGGAACAAGAAAATAGGGAAATGTGGGCGAAAACCAACGGAGTATACGGAAGAATTTTTAATGTCGGTATCACTTCATTTAAGGACAACAGAGAGGAAAATTTCTAAGTCAACACTCCATGAATTAAAGAGGAAGGGGCTATTACGGACGCACACTAGCACGAACAAGCCAAGACTCACAAGTAATCACAAAATAGCAAGATTAAAGTGGGTACTTTCACACATACACCCAGCAACACATACATCACCTCCAACATTCCATTCAATGAATCATGTTATTCACATCGACGAGAAGTGGTTTTATCTAAACCCGGATACAAGAAGATTTTACCTTACACCAAATGAAGAAGATCCGTATAGATGTGAACAATCTAAAAGGTTCAAGTGTAAGGTAATGTTTATGGGCATAATAGGTAAACCATTGTTTGATGAACAAGGGCAACTAATTCATGATGGAAAGTATGGTATCATTCCATTTGTGTACCAACAGCTTGCAAAGAAAGGAAGCAAAAATAGGCCAGCGAGGACTATTGAAACAAAAGCGACACAAAATGTAAACCGAGAAGAAATAAGGAGGATGCTCATCAACGAAGTTCTACCCGCAATAAGAAGCAAATGGCCAAGTACATTGTCCAACGAAGTTATAATTCAATGGGACAATGCCAGGCCACATCAAGTGCCGGCAGATGATGAGTTTATGGCTACTTTGGAGGAGGGGGGGTTCAACATACAGTTCGTTTTTCAACCACCACAATCACCTGACCTAAATGTTTTAGACTTAGGAATTTTCAGGGCAATTCAATCAATTCAACATCAATCATTTCCAAAAACAGTAGATGAATTGGTTGAAAGAGTGAAAGTCGCATATCATGAGTACGACCCTATGATGAATAAACATACATGGTTAACATTACAATCATGTATGATTGAAATTCTAAAGTGTGTGGGGGGGGTGGCAACAACTACAAAATACCTCATATGGGAAAGGAAAGGCTAGAACGACTCGGGTTGCTACCGGAAATACTACAAGTTGACCAAGGTTTGGTGGACCACGCATGTAGTTTGTTGAACAACTCATTCATCGAAAAAGACACAGAAGGACAACAATCAGCTGCAATACAAGAGGTGGACGCAGATTGAGAGGACTCAAGTGTATTTAGGGCTTATAGTTGTGTTTATGTTTTGGCTCGTTATTTGCACATTGTTAATTTAATAGGAAACTTTTGGCTAGGCCTTTTGTAATGTTACATATTTCGTAATGGGACTCTTATGTAACAAATTTTAACATTTTAATGAAGTCCAGTTAAAGATTTCAAGAAGTAAACTGTCCATCAGTTGGGTTTTGTACATTCTCTCAAACCATCAACAAACACGGTACCTCACAGTCATATACTGGAGCCAAACGTGTTTGGATTAGTTTACTAAAATGAGTCCCTTCATCATTTGGATTAGGCCTTTCTTAAATAAGATAGAAGTATTGGAAAAGAAGATTTGTTTTGAAATTTTCAAATAAAGGGACATATATTGTCATTTGCCAACAAAATTGAAAAGGTGGGGACCATTAACATGATAACATGGGACATGGGACAACAATAAAAGCGACATCATCAAAGGGACTTTTCACAAAAATGCTATTCACAACATGCAGCCATAACCTTATAATTGCACCAACAGTGGCATGCATATTTTTCCACGTACCAACATGCAAATCATAAATACCCTGACAAACAACGCAATATACTTGTAAATGTTAATAGCTACATGGAAAGAACTCCAACAAGCATGCAATAGCATTTAAATAAGCATACATTAAGCACACTATAGCCTAAACAGCATAACACCCATGTTGTTTCACAAACAACAACATAAAGCACACTATAGCCTAAACAGCATAACACCCATGCTGTTTCACAAACAACAACAACCAAAAAACCAGTATCCAACCTTGCCAGTAACTTCAGATACTGGCCTGCATCATAAATTAATTTCCACCACCTAAACATGATATTGCTAAAAAAATATACTGAAATTAATGGAGTAAGTGTTTCTGAGAAATATACCGACGCCTTCAGCAGGGACTCATTCATCATCATCACCGATTTTGTTCGGAGGAAACTTTTTTCGCCTTTTATGAACTAAGTATAGCCTCCGGAGTGGACGGATTTCACCCCTTCATGTTGAATTGTTCATCGGATTAGACCCAGCCCTAGCCCTAGCCCCAAACCCCCACCCCCACCTCTACCCCCACCCCCACCCCCAGACCCTTCCCCTCCCACTTTCCCTTCCCCTTCCCCTTCCCCTGCCCATGCCCCTACCCCTGACCCAGACCCAGCCCCTGACCCTTCCCCAGCCCCTGCGGATGACCCTTCCCCAGCCCCAGCCCCAGCCCCTCCCCATGACCCTTCCCCAGCCCCAGCCCCACATACAGGCCCACACCCACACCCAGACAGCCACCCAATTTCTGATTTTGGTAAACTTCCTAATTCTGACTCAATTGACCTCACCACTAAACCTAGTACCTCCCACAATTGTGGACTCATAATATCACGGCCTTTGCCGGAATGATATAGGTGACAAGGCCAGAAATTATTGGACTCAAACGCATCAAGGAATGCGTTAATCATCCCTATTTCAATTTCATTTTCAGTTGCAAATACTGCCATACGGAGAGGGGTCAAATTCATGTTAAAACAAAGGTGTATACAACGACAATTATATGAAAATCCACAACAAATGTGATGAACTACGAACCCCAATAACCCTACCACTGCCAACAAGTACGAAACCCCAATGAACCCTACAAAAATTAACCCTACCAAAACAGAACAAGTACCAAACCCCAACGAAACCCAAAAAAAAAAAAAAAAAAAAATTAAAATTTTGATATACAGATGAACCGAAAAAACCCAACACAATTTGAACAAGATCGACGAAGAAGGACTCAAAATACAGTAATTGGAACTTTTAAGCGCAAAAGGGACTCACCATTGTTGAACAACAACGACATCGAACAATAACGAACAACAAGCCATGGCAGATTAGTATTAGAGGAACACGAAAAGGAAGAGGAAGACGAATTAGGGCTTCGAAAAACCCAGATGAACAGGAGATGAACAGGAACCCAGAAGAACGAAGAACACGAAGAGCCTTCTAGAGAAAGTTGAGAGATGAAAGATGAATGAGAAAAATATCTTCTGCCAAATGATTTGTATGGTGGGTAGGGTAGGTTCATTTAATTAGGAGTACTTTAGATGTTTTTTTTTTTTTATTAATCTTAATTAGTTTAGTTAATTAAGTAAGATTAGTATATAATCTGATTTCATAAAAAAAATAACTAGGGGTATAATCGTCATTTTATACAAAAAAAGTTACTATAAAGGGAAATAAATTGGAAAGTTGCATATAATACTGGGCAGCCAAAAATGGCAAAAGTTGCATTTAATTCCGACCGGAGGGAGTAGATGATTATTTATTGTATACATGGTAAAATATCTTCCTAACATTTATCTGTTAGTCCTTAAGTTATACAAGTAGACTTATCCTATTCACTTTCTCCCTACATCAAAATTTTCTATACCAAACACCCCTTCGTACAACTTGTACAGGTAATGCTCAACTCTAGCGGTCTAGCCTTCTGAGAGAGAACCAGTTCGGTTTAAATGGTATGTCCACAAACAAGTAACAAGGCAGTATTCGACTGACTAGAAAGAGTAACAATCCAAAGACATCATGGCTGCAAAAATGAGCTTAAGAGCAAACAAGCCAAACAAAAATCAGTTCCAACCATATAGGTCAAATAATTTACATAAAACTTAAAATCGAAGCAAGCCAAACAAAAATCAGTTTAGAACAGTTATGCCTCTAATTCCCCTACTCCACAACGCTTAAAGATGGATTACCATCGTCCTCATCACGCTTGTTCTGTTCATCAACTCTCTCAGTCTCATCAAGGTCAAGGACATCATCCATCATATCATCCTCGGCAACGTTTATATCTTCAACCTCCTCTTCATCTTCATTATTGGCATCCGGTATTTTCCGTGCCTTAGGCCCATGTTCCAGCCTATGTGTTTCCAACTCTTTGTCCATGGTTTCCTGCAAGTTTGCATCATTGTTTGCATTTCTTGATTTTCTAGCAGTCAACCACCTTTCAAGATCCCTTTCAACGTTTGCAATATACTGATCATGGACTTCTTTCTGATACGCAGAAAGCTCCTCTCTCCTGGCAACCTTCCATTCCAGAAATGCCTGAAATTCCATCAAGAACAACAATGAATAAAAGCTCCCAATATGCAAATTGCAAATTACATGTTTTCACAAAAATCAGCAGACTAATTGCTATGGTAGGAGATCAAATTACTTTGCTTTGACACAAGCCTAGTTTTTAAACCTTAACAGAAACAAATAGTAGACTAAATCAAGCTCTGAATATGACAGATAATGCAATCATAAACCAAAATGGCACCAAAATTTAATTTACGGTTTTTCACTTGTATGTATGATATATAAGATATCCAATTTTCTAAGTAAACCTCCATACTCAGATTAGAAGGGAATACCAATTGCACAATGAATTTCAGACTATCACCTGTTCTTTCTTTTCATCATTTAATACTGAATTTTCGTCAATAGGCTTGGCTGGCATGTAATAAATAGGGGGCTCCGCTTTTGTCCTGAGTCACCAAGAAAACAGCAAAAAAAAAGGGCACAAATACTTTCTAATCAGCAATAGAAAAGAAACTTTCGACCAAAATTATTACCTAATTTCACATGCCACACCAGGAATAAAATCAAGACATCCTTGCTTGAACGGCATGCACATTAATTGAAACTTATCTTTGGTCAATAAAATTGTCAATATGGACTCTTTTTGGACCTAAATTAAAATTAACCTGCAGCACAATCAAAGAATAAGAAAAATTAGAAATTTCAATGAACAATTCATTAAAGCTATATTAAAAGGTACCATAACTTACTTCACAAAAAAAGTACCTTAAATAATTTGTAAGCTTCTTATGGTGCTCGCTCCATTGAAGAAATAGCAATTCCATCTTCTTCTCTTCAGCCTTGGCAGCTACACGAGCCCTGAGTACCTGACCAAAGAAACATTGAGTAACATAAGGGATATGGCTAAAGGCTAGACCATTAACAAGAGCAGCGGAAAACCCACGCATCTCAAGCTCAACATACCAAATCACGCTTCCTATTTTCGGCAATTCTTTCACGCTCCTGTTGCCTCAGCCTTTCACTTTCTTCACGTGCCTTTTGCTCCGCCTAGTAGGAACGAATTGTTTCTATCAGTAAGAACTTTCATAAAAGTGCTGTTAAATTTTAAGCTAGTGGTACATTGCATATATAGACAAAGTACTGTTATATAAAAAACAAAGAACAACATTGACAAAACAAAAAAAATTCAGTCACTCACTGTAAAGATACTTGTTCCATTGTTCATTTAAACTTATTTACCCAGTTAACTAGAAACAAACAAGTTTAACGTAACTAAAATTCCATTTGAGTAACAACTACCTATTACATGCAAAATAAGGAGTAACGTAGACAAAATAAAACTTGTTCATCGTATCTTTTTTCTCTAATCAACAAGCAAAAAACAAGTAAAATGTTAACCAAAGTTCCAATATGGGTGAAATTTCTGCCAGTAACTAATGAAAAAATGGATCTAACTGTCCTTTACTAAAAAGAAAACCTATTATTCACATTATATGAAGAGATTTTGAGAAAGAAAGTTCCTCACTCTTTGCAAGGAATCTGATCTTCGCATGTATGCCTCGGTCCCTGAAAGCTTCATGTCTTCCTTCTTAAATTTCTGAAAACAAGATAAAATGGAGAGTTAAATTTAAACTCCAATTAACATATCTAAGTGAGGACCATAAAAATAAAATAAATTAATCAAATTTTGTAAACAAGTAGATGAAAAAAAGCATCAAATTCAAACAGATTGGGAGTCTAATTTCTAACATGTAAACTAAGACGATGTGATAGGTACCTTAGCCAGTCAAATATTAACTATAAAAGAATACAACAGGGACACTTTACAATCATAAACAAAGCATAGTTAATTTTTAGAACACATTACAGATTACCTTTTCAAATGATTAATGAAAAAAAAAAAAAAAAAACATTCAGATCTTTCACCCTATAAAAACTGATGTAACTTCAGGCACTTAGGTCTATAAATCCCACTAACTACATTGACCATAGTAAGAAACCTATGGCAATTTATAGCATTAATGTCAAATCTGGTACATACCATACCACAATACCTCTAACAAATCAGCTGACGAGACAAAGTAAGCTTAGATCAACACCGAAAGGAACAAAAAAACTATGAAAGAAAATGATCCTGAAAACCAACGACGTGAGTATTTTTGAGGATCCTCTGCGTTATATAAATCAGAAGAAATTTTGCATGTTCCTTGCATAGGAGAGGCTACTCTATTACTAAACAATATCATGAATTTGATTTTACAGAAACTACAGTGATAAACAAATAGACTTTAATAACGTTAGTTTAATATACATAGCAATATAAGCAGTACAAGCACCCACTGCAGGGGACATAAAATGAAAAAAATATTCTGCGGTTACGAATAAAACATTGTAAACAGCAGGGAACTTCTTGCCTTGGTAAAGCTACACACACATTCTTGAAAGAATTTCAAAATGCTGAAAGAGCAAGCAGCAAACACCCCAAAAAATGGCATAACAAGGGGAGGCAATGGTTAGCAAGTCATACGCCATTCTATTGATGATACAATTGCTCAAGTCAAGAAGTCTCTGTACATTTAATTTAGTACTGCATCTTTACAATATTAAATTTATATTTTAGTAATGAGAAGGCGTTCTATTGGACTAGAATGGTTATGTAAGTCAGGCTGCTTGAGATTAGGGGTAAACTCTGCCTACAAAGTGCCTATCTTAACAACTAGACCAAAAACTATGGGTAGATCCGTAGATACATCTTAAAACTAAACGGTTTACTAGAGCAAAAGCTTCATCATGCATACAGCATATTTGTATTTAAAAGTGCATTAAAATTAACTAGCGTCCACTAATAATTTATCACTATCGTATTTGAATTTGAAATATACACTTGGTCTCTATCCTCTTGAACTTTTTAAAATGGGACTAAGGATTCGATTGATTGAGATAAGTATACGGAAAATTCTCATTGGTAAGTACCTACTTTGTACTTTTCTCATTGGTAAGCACCAAATATTTTTATTCTCATTGGTAAGTCCATTTTGATGTTTATTATCAACCGTAAGATAGTAGAATTCAAAGGGATAAAATAGGAAACAGTACTCTTAATCATAAAATGGTTCAATCCTCTTATATCATGGATATTGTTTCATTCGCAACAATTAGTTTTTTTTGGTTTCGGCACAAGAGTCAATTTTCAAGTAGCGTACACAAAAAAATTCCACCTAGCCTACACATGTAAAATATTTTAAAGGGCTTTTCTACATGGTACACCTGAGTTATTGGGTTTTCTACATTGAACCCTTCTAAATCCAAAGTTCTACAAGGTACCCTTGAGTTTTTGGGTTTTTCTGCATGGTACCCTTGAGTTGTAAAATAAATGACTCTAACTTAATTTGACTCAAACCGACACCATAATGATCTATTTACCACTTCTATATTTATATTCGATGGAGGAATCACCCATCTTCATTATTCGCTATTTAATGGAACTTTTGTATGATTGTTTGAGATGGAAGATAAGAAATTTTTTTGCTCCTACTTAACTAAAAGAGCTTGTTTTAGAGGGGACTCAAGTTGTTAGTCCTTTTTTTTGCAATAAACATGCTAGTTGTCTTTGAAGGTGCTAAATAAGTCGTTTAGATGGTGTTGGTTTGAGTCAAATTAATTTAGTCATTTATTTTACAACTCAAGGGTACCATAAGAAAAAACCCAAAAACTCAAGGGTATAATGTAAAAACACTAATAACTCAAGGTCACTAGTAGAAATTTGAATTTAGGAGAGTACAAGGTAGAAAACTCAAAAACTCAAGGGTACCATGTAGAAAAACCCTATTTTTTAAAAATAACCCCCCCCCCTCTCTCTCTCTCTCTCTCTTCTCTTCTCCTATCTATCCTACTTTGTTGGGGAATCATACTTTCTTATGTTCACACTCCTCATGGACCATCATGGAAATCTTTAACAATGATTATTTTATGCCTTGGTGGCCACTTTTCTTTTTAGCTTTCTCGCTTCAATTTTAGGACTTTTAAGGCCACCTCATTCAATCAATGGTGTTACTAACTAGGTCTTCAAATTAAAAATTAAAAGCAATTTAAAATAGTTGGTAATTCATTATGCTTCTCCCCTTCTTTTCCGTACGAATAGAAGGTTTTTGAGAACTAATTTCCCCTTTCACCTAAGACCTCTCTATCTCCCGCTCTCTATCTATCTCACATCTTAAGCACCTAGGTAATCTTGGCATAATGGCCAAAACCACTATTTCTCACCATCATTACTTTTTGTGCATTCAAAAATTGCAAGCATTCAAGCACAGAATAAGTACAACTTAGTCTAGCAAAAGCAAGTTAAGTCTAGAAAATTAAGTCTCAAAAGGAAAATAAATTCAGCAAATATAGATTATACTTAATAAAAAGAAAAAAGAGAGCAGAAAATAACACAACTACAGTGGTTGCAACTTTTTTATAAGAGTACATGTGCTATGGGAAACCATGAAAGTTATATAATTAAACTTTGACTAGCCATGATGAAGACATTTTATACGATCTATATTCATATCTTTTATCCTATCTTATCCTCATTGTATACTCGTTCCTCAAATCTTCATGGTCTTCATTATATAATTAATTCTCTTGATACATCATCATTATCCTAAAGGCATTCCTCTAATATGGTTTTTAATTCTGTAAGCAACACATTTTTTATTTTATTTTTTTACCGGGTAAGCAGCACATGTTAAAATAATGTATTACGATATCAAGAATCATATGGTCATTCTCCACTTCACATAAATACATAATCACTTCAAGGTCTTCAACTCAAAAGTGCTTTAATTTCTTAACATTTCTCATATTTATATCATTAAAGGATTTTTGTTTAATTGGTTGATGGTTGACTGTGGATTTAAGTAACTTAATATCAAAGATAAAACTGAAGTGTTTTAGAGAAGGCATCATAAGAAGTGTGCAAACAAAAACAGCTACTATTGCAGGCAGCAAGGTAGTTCAATAACAATACTAAAGCAGTAGCTTTGGAATTTGGCTTCACAGCAAAGTTTGAGTTATATCTTACACACACACACCCCCCACCCCCCACCCACCCCAGGAATTATACCATACCTCCAGGGTCCCCAAAAGTTGACCTAGCATCCTCCGATTCCTATTAACCAACCTTGGATCCTCATCTTTTGGCAACACTCTTGGAACCTCCTTAACTTGATGATCAAGTCCCTATTATGCAAATTGTAAGATGTCATAAACTGTTCAGCAATATAACAACTCCAAAACAAACAAAAGCAATTTACTGACATTATCCACTTGTTCATCGCCGATTTTTGCAGAAAATGGACGATTTTGCAGCGAAACTGAAGACCTTTGATCATTCTTTCCCATCGGACCAGAAACACCAGCAACAGGATCCTCACTTTGCATGTAACGGACTGCGATTTCTTCTTCAACAACCTCCCCATCTTCCACCTTCAGTTCAACAAATTTCAGCCATCAAACATCCCCCCAAGCAACAATTCAAACAACAATTCCATTTTTCAAACGAAAAAAAACCCTAATGTTATATTATGTACTACAAATCACCCATCAAACATTTCCAATATTAAAACTAATCCATATTCCACTTTCCAGTCAAACTAGTGATCGTATGACATTACACAGCATATAATCGTACATGGTTATGATATATATAACCCAACTAACCAACGCTAAGCATTATATTGAGTATTAATCTAGAAAATTATGCCAAAACACATGCTAATTATCTCCATGTTCGGCATGTTCAGCTTGTTGCTCATACAAATTACCAACTTTGAATTTCCCATCAACTAATCACAATCCACCCATCAAACCACCGCAACAGCACAATTCAAACACATGATAAAACCCAATTAAAATTTCACATGTTACAAAATTAGGGCACACTAAAAAAACACACCACAAAACACAAAAAAGAACCCAACCTTAACAACTGCAGAACTCAATCGCCGCTTCGGAAGAGGCTCGTCCTTTGAATTAAACCTTTCACCCTAACAAAAATAAAAAATAAAAAAAAATTCCCTTAATTGATAACTAATTGCAGAAAACATAATCCAAAAAAATCAAAATTGAAGAACATACAGGTCGAGTGAAAGGACGTTGATTAGGAAGATTGTTCCTTTGAGCATTGCCTGAGAATCCGCCACGACGAAGCCCTCTTGGATCCCTAATACGCTCAGTAATCTGTTGAAGAAAGTTGGATTGAATAGAAGAAGAAGATGGAAAAATAGAGGAGAGAGAAAGAGAGGAGAGAGAAAGACCTCGCGTTGTTGGCGTTGAAGAGCTTCAAGTTCTTTGCGGAGTTCATCCTCAGTCTTCTCAACACTCTGGTTCGCCATTCTTCTCAGTCTATACTGTCTGCTTTACCGGGTTGTTGTTCTACTGCCTTGTTTTCCTCGTCTGTACATATATACTGGGTTGTCGGTTTTTTTTTTTTTTTTTTTTTTTTTTTAAAAAAAAATTTAAAAGATCGATAACTAATCTATTTACAAGGAAGTTAAGGAAAAAACTCTCTCGCCTCTTCTCTCTCCCTCTAAAAAAACAAAAACCCTAAAATCTTTGACAGCTGCAAGGGGCTATCATTATCGACTCATCGTCTCTTTGATGATGGTAAGCCTCATTTCTTTCTTTATTTCTTTTGTTTTTTGTTTTTTAGTCATTAATAATCCTCCTTACTCTCTCTTTATGAGAGTTTTTTTTCCCAATTTTTGGGTTTGTTCTCTCCTTTTGTGAGAGTTTGGTGTTTGTCTTTGTTCTCTTCCCTTATGGAAGATTGGAATTTATTTTTAGGGTTTTATCTGAAAGATTGGATTCATGGGTTGTTATTCGTACAATTTTGCAATTGGCGTTAGAATTGAGGATGTGATCGACATGGTCAAGTAATGAATTTTCTTCCCAAAACTATGTCAAGAAGATGAACTCCCTCACAGAAGGTTGCATAATTCAGCGAACAACCGGGGACTGTGCCTAATTAGACAAGTGATCAAAATCATCTCTATCTGTTTGGAAAAGTGCACTAGTGTATCCCTTAACAACTAACTCATTTTCACTTCCATTTATCAGAAATCATCCTTAATGCTTCTTAAGTACTTTTGGATGTTCTTAGCTACATTCAAGTGTGATATATCTAGATTTGATTGGAATATGTTACACATGCTCAAAGCATATATAACATCTAAGCGAGTACAAATCATGGCATACATAATTGATCTTATGGCTGAAGCATATGAAATCAAACTCACTAGTCTAAGCTTATTAAGACTAGATGGACTCTAAGTCTTGACAAGTGTAATGCCATGTTGCATAGGTAGAAATCCTCTCTTAGAGTTTTTCATACTAAAACTGCTAAGGATCTTATCGATATAAGTACCTTGGCTTAGACCAAACATCCTTTTGGACTTATCCTCATGGATTTTGATCCCAAAATCGTACTATGCATCTCCTAAGCCTTTCATTGAAAAACATTTTCCAAGCCAAACCTTTATAGATTCTAGCATAGAAACATCATTTCCAATGAGAAATATGTCATCCACATACAAGACCAAAAGATCACACTACTCCCACTAGCTTTCTTATACACTCATGCTTAAACCTGGGCACAGGCCGGGTTGGCCCGCGTGCCGCCCGGCACAGCCCGCCGTTCGGCGCAGCCCGACACGGCCCGAATTCAAGCACGGCACGGCACGAAGTTCAACTCCCGTGCCACGGGCCGTGCCACGGACAGGGTTGAGAATTCCCAGGCACGGCCCGGCACGAGCACGGGCATGGCCCGCCGTGCTGGCCCGCAGGCACGGCCCGTAGGCACGGCCCGCGGGCCAACGGTAATGTTACCGTTTATTCTAGCTCCTTAATAAGCCAAAAAAACGGCTAAAAAACGGCTAGTTTTTTGCCAATTTGCTCCCCAAAAATTCTATAAATACTCACCTCCATTTCATTCCCAAATCACAAAATCACAATCTCTTCTTCTTATCTCTTATATTCTCTAAATCTCTAATAATCCTTATTTTCTTAAATTCTCTAATTATTCTCTTAAATTCTCTAATTATTTTCCTAATATCGGAAAAAATTAAAAAGTTTGTAATCGTAATTAGTGGAGCGTTGAAGCACGGTTGTAAGATCTAAACTAATCTTAAATTTATTATTGTTTTATTGTTATTATTAGAATAATCTTGTTTAATTATTATTGTTGTTAATTGTTATTGTTGTTGTTATAATTTTTGTTATTAATTATTATTATTGTTACAATTGTTGTTATTATTTATTTTTGTTGTTATTGTTATTGTTATAGTTGTTGTTATTAATTAATATTATTGATATTTTTATTGTTAAAATTGTTGTTATTAATTATTATTATTATAGTTAACCACTTTTTATTAAAAAATTAATTGTTAATTATGGCATCGAACAACCCATCATTTAGGTCTAGGGGGAAAGGCCGACTTATCCGTAGTAGTAGTTCTAGGGAACCACCAAATACAACGAGCCCCCAAATTACGAGTCAAACCAATGACCCCATTTACTTCCCCCCGGGCTATGAGCCATATAATACGTCGGGATTTCCAGCACCACCACTAAACTAATTTCCACTACCACCATACCAATTTCCACCTAATTATATCGGTGATCAACAAAACTATTGTTCTAGCCAAGGTAGCCAAGAAAGTACCCGAATTCCCTCCGGTTCTACCCCTTCTACTACCACTCCCACTAGTCCCACTACTAACCATCACACACATCATGAATGGTTAACCGAAACTGAGATGCTAATTTTGAAAAACCGAAGGAGTGAGGTATGGCGTTATTTTGTCCTAAGTAAAGATGGTGAACAATGGGCAAAATGTAAAACATGTAATAGTGTATTCACGGTAGTTACCAAAAACGGGACGGGACACTTATCTAGACACATGAAAGCTTGTGCAAAACCAGCTAGTGATCCAACCCAGCCAAAAATTTCCCAATTCCATCCATACGGCTTTACATACATCTATGAGAGGGATAGGGATGAACTAGGAAAAATGATAGTACACGCCGAACAACCTTTTCTTTTCTCGGAAAGTGACGCATTCAACACCTACATTAACAAAGCACTACAACCCCAACATAAAAGAATCTCTAGGAAAACCGTTCGTTCCGCCGCAATGAAAAATTTCCTAGAGTACAAAGTCCGGTTACAAGCCGAATTGAGTAACCTTAACTGTAGAGTATCTTTAACAGCCGATTCTTGGGATAGTGGTTATAAATATCACTATTTATGTGTGACTTGCCATTGGGTAGATGATCAATGGATGTTACAAAAAAGAACAATACATTTCAAAATGCTGGAATACCCACACACCGGCATTAACATTGCTCACCATTTAATGCAAGCAATAGACGAATACAACCTTCGAGATAAAATGATGTCTATGACTTTTGATAATGCAACCTCTATGACATACACAGCTAATCTTATCAAACAAAACTTAACCGATGTACTATTAGACGGTGAAGCTCTTCATACTAGATGTGTTTGCCATGTACTTAACTTATGTGTACAGGATGGAGTTCGGGCAATTGGCCCATACTACAGCAAAATTAGAGATGCTATTATGTCTATTAATAGCTCTAACATGAGATACCAAGAATGGAAGAGTTTTCTAAAACAACAAAAGATAAGGGTAATAAAAATTAGAACCGATTGCCCAACTAGGTGGTATTCCACCTATGACATGTTAACAAAGGCAATTGAGTACAAGGGCCCGTTAACATTATTTTACAACCAAAAATTTCCACAAAATGCTTTGTATGATGATGATTGGAATAACTGTGAAAGATATATGCAATTTTTACAGTTATTATATAACATGACGTATTGTTTTTCTACTGTTTACAATCCTTGTGCTCAAAACTTTCTTTCTAATGCATGCTTACTCGCCCAACTTTTCGCTGATCATCGCCATCAAAGTGATTATGATCAGTATCTTCCAGCAATGGAAAAAAAGTGGCGTAAATATTATAGTGAGATTCCTTTGATTTATATTTTTGCTTCCATATTAGATCCTAGGCAAAAGTATGAAAACACATTTATGTTAGTTGACATTTACTTTCAATGCATGTTTCTTGACGATGATGTAGAAAACTATAAGACTAATGTGAAGGATCAGTTTTTTGTTTTATATAGAGTCTATGAAGCCAAATATGGCACCGTTCCTCGCTCAGGGCCTTCCCAACCATCCAAAAACGTAAGTAAGAAGGCCAACCATTTATTTTCACAAGCTACTAACTTGATTTCAAGGTTTTCAGGTGATTCATCAATCAGGAGAACGCAAAGCGACGTCTCGGAGTTGCAGATGTACCTGAGTTACGACTTCACCAAAGGCATGGACGACGATGAGATAAACAACCTCGACCTCCTTGCATGGTGGAAACAACAAAGCTCGAAGCATCCAACTTTGGCGGCAATGGCACGAGACATTCTTGCTATCCAAGTTTCCTCCGTCGCCTCCGAACGAGCTTTCAGCGCATCCGGAAGGGTTTTAGACGATAGAAGAACAAGTCTAAAACCCGAAACACTAGAAATGTGCGTGTGTTTCAAAGATTGGTTGGATGCGGAAAATCGCTCACGAGACCGTTCTTACGACCACAACGACAACGAAGAAGGAACCTCCGCTTCCGGTTCGGGTTCGGCTAGTTCCCAATCTATGCAACTAGCCGATGACCTTGAAGGCGAAGGCGAAGACGAAGACGAAGACGAAGACGAGCAAGAAGAAGGAGAAGAAGAATAGACAATTATTGTATATTGTACGATTTTAAAAATATCAATTTTATTATTTTCCAATTTTTGTTTAATACCATCATTGTATGATTTTTATCATTGTTATCATTGTACAATTTTCTCAACTCAAGTAATAATAATATAAAGTACGCATTATTCACATCCAAAGTCCAATTTGCCTTTTTTCCCCGTTTTGTTACAATTTGTAAATTCATATTAAAAAAAAATAAAATTATACCAATTACTAATAAATCATAAACATTAAATTTTAAAGTAATAGTATAAAGTAAATATATAAATATAAATATTGAATATACAAATTATAAAACATAAATATTCAACTTATAATTATAAAATTCATAACTTAATAACTTATAACTTATAAGTTATAAACTTATAAGTTATAACCTTATAAAACTTATAATTATAATTTTATAACTTATATACATTATAAACTTATTAATTTATAATGTTGTCAATAAAAAAAAAATAAAAAAAAAATAAAAAAAAATAATATTTGAAAACTGCACCAGCCCGCTGCCAGCTCGCAGGCCGGCACGTGACCGGCACGGCACGAGCCCGCCAGGCACGAGGGCCGTGCCGTGCCGTGAGCTGGCCTGTGAAAATGGCTGGCACGGCACGGCACAGCACGAAATCCTGGGCCCGCCGGCACGACCGGCACGGCACGAACCAGCCCGTGGCCCGCCAAGCACGGCCCGCGGCGGCACGGCCCGGCACGGTGCCCAGGATTACTCATGCTTCTTCTTCATTTATGAGAGAACTAAACTATGTGATAGCCTCATCAAATTGAAGATCCCAACTCTAAGATGCTTGCTTCAA